AAATATAGGCACCCTGTACAGAGCAGGACTAGTGACACCCCTCAGGCTAACACGGTCAAGCTCCAACTTTCTCTTTTCATCTCATTTCTCTTCTCTCAGAGCAAGCAGGGTTTTCAGTTGTTCTCTGCCACTTTCTCAATTCTTCACCGGATACTGTGATATTGTCGGTGAGTTTCATTGAGAGTGGTAGGGGGAGGGATTGGCAGGAGAGTGTGTTCATGTGCGTATTTAGGAGTATCAGTAAAGGACACAGATGAATTGGGAGAGAGGAGATGGGTACGTAGGAGAAAAGAGGTCAGTGGGATAAAGGATGAGTTAGGGACTGCAGCATGACAGAGCTCAGGGTAGGGACTGCTGGGGGAGAGGTCAGTGGGACAAGGAGGTGGCTTTGGTTGGGAATGTAAATGCAGAAAGTGGCCAGGAAAAGCACCAGAAGAATATGGGAGAAGAGAGACTTGAAAGTTTTGAAGGCAGTTCATAGAGCAGTCAGAATCAGACTGTACCAGGACAGGGGATATAAGTGGGGCTGTTCATGAAAATGGCTCAGATTGTGAGCACCACCTTGGAAAAACAACCAAAGTTACTGGTGAAAGGATAACTGACTAATTCCATGGTCCATTTGTTCAAATGTTTCCTAAGTTCCAGTAAACCAGATGCTGTGCTTAGTACTATGAACTCCCGAATCCCAAAGTAAGGAGGACTCTTAAGGAAACTTTATGTGGGTAATCTGGGTGTCAGGTGTGTGTAAAGCAGAAAAATCCTCATTCATTCTGCCATCCTACATTCTTCAGAATGGATACAGAAATTGGGAGAAGAGGTTGTGTCTTGGTACTGGGGTCTTCCTTGTTTCTGCCATCACATCATAAGACTATTGCTATATTTACACATGATACACCACCATATGATTACTTAAATGTTGACAAAATCCTCAAAATGCTTATGAGGAGTGAAGCAAATGGGGGTAGTGGGACATTTTTCTTGAGATGTTTATTTATTAAAAAAAATGAGTCTCTATTAAAGATATGTTAGTGAATTAAGGGCATATCAGGGCCTCTGCAACATAAATAACACTGGCTTTAGATTATGGAGCATTTTACATGCCAGCTTTCAGTGTACATGAGTAAGAGTGAGGCTATTAGACGTATAAATCTGAATTTGCTCTAATTTATTAAAAGGGTGAGCCATTTATAAATGTCAGTGCTTTATGTATTATTAGAAGCAAACTTCTTGTGACACATCCCCCAACTGTGCTTCCATACACTGTGCTGCACACAGAGGCCAGCCTTATAATCTAGAGTGGGAGGGAGAAGGCTATTCTCTCTGTTAGAGACATGGCTTCAGTGTTTAGACCCTGTGCACTTTAAAGAACCTGAGAGTGGTGAAAAGTGCTTGAGATCTGAAACACATGCCCCAGAAAAATGGCAAAATAAAATTAATACTTGTTTAAATAAATGTCTAGATAATACAACTAGGCAAAAAGTAATTGACTTAACTCCTATACATTTATCTTACAATTATATCTGATGTGGTTTGTGGGTGAATTTTAGTATGTTGTTATGAGAGTTAGAAGAATCTTCCAAAATAAAGATGCATTAAGACATGAAAGGCTTTTATATAATCCCTTAGAAATAGAGTGAAGCGAAGTGAAGTGAGGTGAATTCGCTTAGTTGTGTCCGACTCTTTGCGACCCCATGAACTTTAGCCTACCATGATCCTCAGTCCATGGGATTTTCCAGGAAAGAATACTGGAGTGGGTTGCCATTTCCCTTTCCATAGAGAGAGAGTAGGCATAACCAAAAAATAGAGTTGGATGGGACTCACAGGAAGAAAAGAAGACACTAGGAAGAAAGAGAGAGAGCAGAGTCTGGTCAGGGGCTGCAGGGAAGAAGCGGCTTCACTTCTCCTCCCTGGACTGAATCTTCCCTGATTCCCATTCCTAGTTCTCGGTCCTGGAGCTGAAGCTCTGATGCCCATCGCTGTGCCATGTCCCTGGGGATTCTGTAAATAATGGAGATAATCTCTGTTTCTGCTTTGACAGATACATGTGTTTCAAAGCACTTGAGGGAAGCCTAGCAGACAGTTATGATCCAACTAAGTCCATCACTGTGAACTTTCCTGGTATACCACAAAGCCCTCAGATCTTATTTTTTTTTTTTTTGCTGAACCGAAGGGCATGTGGAACTTCACTGACTAGAGATCAAACCCTCATCCCCTGCAGCAGAAGTGTGGAGTCTTAACCACTGGACTGCCAGGGAAGTCCCCCAGGTCTTGGTTTTGAGACACTATCTGAGAGATATGTTTTCTTTTTTCTCTCCTTGGGTACTTCTCTCATCCCTTTACCTCTTCTTTATCCCTAGAAAAGAAACTTCCTTTGGTTATATTTAGATGAAAAATAAGACTTTAATATTGCTGAATATTCATTAATGTGTTTTGCTTAGTGAAAATAATACAATAGGATGATGGCCAAATAGGTTTATAAATAATAATGATCTACTATTCTGAGCACTTTATATGAATTAACTCATTTAATCCTCTTAATTACCTCACAAGGGCTTCCCTGGTGGATCAGATGGTAAAGAATTGGCCTGCAATGCAGGAGACTCAGTTTTGATTCCTGGGTCAGCAAGATCCCCTGGAGAAGGGAATGGCTACCCACTCTAGTACTCTTGCCTGGAGGATTCTATGGACAGAAGAGCCCGGCAGGCTACAGTCCACGGGGTGGCAAAGCATAGGATATGACTGAGTGACTAAAACTTTCACTTTTCACCTCATACAGTTCATTGTTATCCACATCTTACAAATGAGAAAATGGAAGCGTGCAGAAGTAAAGTGGCTTGCCTAGGATCATCAAGTTAGGGAAGAACTGGGAAATTAACCCAGAAGTTGGCTCCAGAAGTCAGGGTCTTCACGTACCATACCATATTCTCTCCCACTCACCATGGCTCCTTGCCTCATCTCTGCTGTTCTTTTTTTTTTTTTTTTGCTCATCTGCATCTGGATATTTTCTTAGGGCTTGGAAAGGTTCTCACTGTGAGACTTTGATGTGTTTCTTGTGCCTGTGATCTCTGACTCTTTCCTAAATGAGTCTAAAACTCTTCTGCTTAGAACCCTCAGCAGAGATGAGGTGGAGCCCTGGGAAGGCACTGAACGAAATGAAAGTCCTTCTTCACACAGCCAGATGCCTTTTCCAGAACCTCATAAACAGCCAACCAGGCCTCACAGTCCCTCTTCCACTCTTGAATTTGGTGTCTCACTACTGAGGTTATAAGACATTATTAGAATTATAGGCAGAGAGCCCAGGTTGTTATGAGGTCATATATCAGGTATCGTTTATTGAGAAGGTGTATGTTAACAACTAGTAGGGTTGGGAGAAGTGGTGAGAAAAATTTTCAGTAAATTTCCTTCTAAGGAAAATGAATTTGTTTTTTGGTGGGGCTTTTTTACTTTTATCTTTTTTTAAATTGACTGATAACTGCTTTACAATGTTGTGTTAATTTCTGCTGTACGACAACATGAATAAGTATATATATATTCCCTCCCTCTTCAGCCTTTCTGGTGGGGTTTTATTTATATAAATTTGGGGCTGATGCTTCAGAATAGAGGCAGGGCAGTGTTACCAGTGGCCCTTCATCTCTGTGCTTATCCCAGGAAAGCTCAGCCTCTCCTCTGAATAGAAGTCAAATGAGTATCTAAAATATACTGGGCCGGAAGGAGGTCAAATTATTAACTCCTCTGAGGCCCTTACTTGTTTGAAGCTGGCCCTGGTCCCTTCCCTGTGTCCAATTTAAGTCCCACTGCATCCTCTGCACAGGCCGTTATGCTCTGAGCAAGTGCATCTGCATAGAGGCAGGGGGATGGACTCATAAACTAGGGCTTTTATTCCTTTGGATGCCCTCCTCCCTGGGACCATCTGAATGCCATTATCAGTAGGTCCATCTATTAATAGTATAGCCCCAATTCTTCCCTTGCTCTCTCTATGGTCTCTTTCCTCCATATTCCCTTCCAGATTTTTAATCACTCATTCCTTCCCTAATCCTAAGAGCTGACAGTCCACAGCTTCAGAAGGAAATAAATCTTACCTGAGTGGTGGGAGAAGTGAAGGCAAAGAAAGCCTTTTGCCTAAATTTTCTTAGCCAAAGGGAAATCTGAATTTTTTGAGAGTGAAGGAAAAAGTGGGATGAAAAGGAGGGCTATGTTAGTGGAGCCAGAGAGGTGTGTATTGATTTCCTGTACTCTGAATACTTTTCCTTGGGTGCTCTTAAGGATAAAGAGATTTAAACACAACTTTTATGGAATCATTTTGGGGAAGAGCAAGCAATGAATATGAACCCCTCTCAATTTCACCAACTGCTCTGCTCCTCACAGCCTTTAGGGAAAGTTTTAATTTGGGTCAGAATGAAGGAATATATTTTTCAGACTCCTATTGGATTGCCGCTTGCCGCTCCATTTCCATGAGTGCCAGGATATTAGCAAATTTCATGTGAAATGTTCAAAGTAATAGCCAGATAAGTTTAATGTGATTAAGTATAATCAAGTTAAATATAGTTTAGCTAATAGGTGTTCAGGAAGGAAATGTATTGTTATGAACATGGGCCATTACAAAGTGATATGTTTTAAGAAAGTATTTTAAGGTTAAAATTTGAGTAAGCAGAGAGGAAAGGGAAGGGAAATTCAGGTTAACACAGAAGGAACAAAATCTTGTGGGAAGAAAAAAGTACAACACAGGTAAGAGGGCAAATGCTGCTTGGGTGGAAATGGTAGAATGAGGTCAGAAATGTAGGATGGGACCAAAGTTTGGGAGCAGAGTGGCTGGATGCAGGGTGAAGCCTCTATTGATTCTTGAAGAGTGATTGTCACAGAAGCTCTCCCTGCAAATCTAGCACCAAGGGTCAGAAGTCATTTCCACACCCAACTGAGCCTTGTCTAGGAGAACATTCCCCTACAGAGTCCCATGGTTCAGAAACCAATGCTATCTTTTGTGATCTCTGTATGTACTCAGAGGTGCTTTCTGTTCCTATGCCTTTCAGCAGACTCATCTGCTTCTGTCATTATACAGATGATCCTAAAGTACATCATGACTCACACCAACTTCACCATCTTCCACCCTGCAGTTTTTGTCCTTTTGGGCATCCCTGGGTTGGAAGCTTATCATGTTTGCCTGTCAATACCCTTGTGCCTCATGTATATCACTGCAGTTCTGGGCAACAGTATCCTGATAATGGTCATCATCACAGAACGTAACCTTCATGAGCCCATGTACTTCTTCCTCTCCATGCTGGCCATCACGGACATCCTGCTGTCCACCACTACTGTCCCCAAGGCCCTAGCCATCTTTTGGCTCCATGCTCATGACATTGCCTTTGATGCCTGTGTCACCCAAGTTTTCTTTGTCCACATGATGTTTGTGGGGGAGTCAGCCATCCTATTAGCTATGGCCTTTGACCGGTTTGTGGCCATCTGTATCCCCCTGCATTACAAGACAATGCTAACATGGCCTGTGGTGGGAAGGATTGCTGTGGCCATTGTCACCCGAAGTTTCTGTATCATCTTCCCGGTGATCTTCTTGTTGAATCGACTGCCTTTCTGCCGGACCAATATCATCCCCCACTCCTATTGTGAGCATATTGGAGTGGCCCGCTTGGCCTGTGCTGACATCACCGTTAACATCTGGTACGGCTTCTCAGTGCCCATTGTCATGGTCATCTTGGACGTGATCCTCATCGCGGTGTCGTACTCACTGATCCTCCGAGCAGTGTTTCGTTTGCCCTCCCAGGACGCTCGGCACAAGGCCCTCAGCACCTGTGGTTCCCACCTCTGTGTCATCCTCATGTTTTATGTCCCCTCCTTCTTTACATTATTGACCCATCGCTTTGGACATAACATACCTCGGCATGTCCATATCCTGCTAGCCAATCTTTATGTGGTGGTGCCACCAACGCTCAACCCCATCGTCTATGGCGTAAAGACTAAGCAGATCCGGGACGGGGTGGTCCACCGGTTCTTTGATATTATGGCTTGGTGCTCTGCTTCCTCTCTGGGCTAATGGCTTCCTTTGAATCCTCACTCCCAGCTTTATCAAGGAAACTAGGTGTGAAGCACAGAGATTTCCTGGACTGAGAGAGCTTTTCCTTCCCTTCCTCTCTCTCTTCCTTTTTCTTCATCTTCCTTCTGGTTTTTCCAGACACTCCAAGCCTCCTATCTCTGTACATCTATTGAATCTTGTGCAGATCTCAAAATGTATGTACTGAGTTATTATGGGTTTTTATTTGTACACCTAACTGACTGTAAACTCTTTGAAATCAGAAGAGTGTGTATCACTCATATTTGTATGCTCAGTACTTCACAAAATGCCTGGAACATAATAAAATGTTTGAAAAATGAACGACAGCACATTTACCTCCTCAAAGTTAGAAAGTGCATCTCTATTATGCACTGAATGTTCAGCTAAATTAGTCCACAAACCCAGTGACTGGTAAACCATTTCCTTACAAAGGTAGTTTGGTGTCTTAGAGACAAATAAGCTGCTGACACAGTACAGGTCTTCTTACTTGTCACACATTTGCCATATCTCAGAGACTAGGGAATATCAAGGGTGGAGGAAACAGGGTTCTCTTGATATTCTCTTATAGTTGGCTTCTGACTAACCTCAATATTAGGAATTATAGCACATTGTTCCTGGCCAGGTTGGCAAAATTGGAGTAGTTTCTTGAAGTTACTGATCTGGACTCTAATTCTTTCATGCTTTTTCAGAAAAGGCCATATATACTCATTTCCTCATCCACAAACTATGCTAATGGGTCCCCCATCTCTCTCTTCTTCCTAGAATTCTCATTTGAGTTTCAGATACATAAAAATCCACCTATCAACTGGGTATCATCTCCAGGATATAGAACTACCATTCATGGTAGCTTTTCTTATTGTTCCTTTTCTTAAAAACTAGATTATGATAATTGTATCAACTTCATTGAACCGGAAACCCTGGGGAGTTACTCAAATTCTTCCTCTCTAGCATGCTCCCCAAGAATTGGTTGTTACTGATATTGATTCTACTACTAAATAGATCTGGATAGCTTTTGAAGTTGTATCAGGATTCCAGTCCTGTCCCCATCATTTTCCAGCTGTGTGAACTTGTGAAATTTATTCAATGTTTTTAGTCCTCAATTTTTAAGTCTGTAAAATGAGAGCAGAAAAAGAAACCTGTGGGGATGAGAAGATTAAATGAAATAAACCATATATACAGCACTTATTTTTAGCTCATAGTAATAAGTATCTGAGAAATAGTTCACTAAGGCTATCAGTATTGTTAGGTTTCTTTTTAACATTGTTTCTATCCATTACTTATATTCCCTATCATCTTTCACATCAGATATTGCATTAGTTTTTAAGTTGATTTCAATGTTTTTAATCTTTTACACTGTAAACTCAACTATAAATTGACCCAAAGTTAAGCATTCTAAAGGGCATGGCCAATCATACTACTTTATGTCAAATATTTTCAAATAGTCTTCATTACTTACAGAAGTGTTTTCCACAGAATATTTTGTAGAAATAATAGGTATCATAATGGATGTTTTACAGAAAATTTCCATAGCCAAATAAGCATGAAAAATGCTGACACTGTGAGTCATGCACATGGCTATCCAAGAGAGAGAGGGCTAGAGTTTTCAGCCTTTCCCACACATTTGTGACCATAGATATTTGTATCTATGTTTATGTAACTTCTTGATAGCGCATCAATTTACACTGGTAAAGTAACCTGGAGTTTGACCAGCCCCAATTTGGTAGTCATAGGACCACAGAGTAATATGTAGACTAAGCATTAATTTAATAGTCTAATAATTTAATAATCTAGCCCTGATTTACTTTTCTATCATTACCTCAAAACACATCACCATGTAGTAGTACATTAATACATAATGTAATATTAATGATAATAATAACTATAACAAAAGCTAATCTTTAGTAAGAAATTACTGTATGCTAGGAACCATGTTAAGTGCTCTGCTGCATGAACTCATTTAATCCTCATACAACCTCATGAGATAGTACTGTGGCTGCCTCTGTCTGATACATGGGGCACCAAAAGCTCTGCTAGGATGAATAATCAAGACCACACAGCTGGCAAACAGTAGAGTCCTAATGTCAACTCCTCTTTGAAGTCTTTGCCAATCTCCCCCAACTCAGAGGTGATCACCTTGTTCTCTGGGTCTCACAGCAAGGGTATTTATGGTTTCAGCTCATTATTTATCACTCTATGAAACCATGAGAACTTGAGTTTTGTGAGGACAGAGAATTTGTCTCATTCATTATTATGGTTCTCGAATCTGGCATAGAGGTCAATGTGTATATTACTGGATTGATTATTTTAAAATGTTGGTGAGGTCGTTGACCTTTGGACCTTTCATTGTTAAGTAGCATCTAATTTTATGACTGGGAATCATTTGGACACACACACACACCGCTTAGCTCCTCCTGACCTACTATTTCTTCTACATCCCCACAGGTTTCCATGTTCATTGAGGTCCAGCAATATAGGCAGGGCTTTAACATTCTGTGTACTGAGTAGCAGCAATTAGTATCCACTAGTCCACTCTGTGTCTGCATGTTAGCCTGAGAAATGGAATTGTTAGCAGGTGGAGTTTGGACAGACTGCTGTAGCTAGGAGTAGATTACCCACCCTCTCTGGTCAGTGACCTCTGGAGACTAGTCATAAGGGGATCTGCTTTGTCCAATTAAATGAGATGCTCCCTAAAGACTTGGTAGGGTAGCAACTCTTTCCTCGCCTAAAGGATTCCTACAGCTGAGATATAAATACTATCCTATTTCACTCCACAGTCTGCATCTGGCATCTTCTTTCATGTGTTGGGGAAGCATGCATGAAACTGGGGTAAGTTTCTGGGAAGGGAATAAATATTTTTCTCACAGGATTTTTAGGTTTTCCTGGAATAAAATCCAATAAACTGTTTGTCCAGACACTGTCTTCTCAGGCCCTCTGTATAAAGTAGTATAAATATATACTATTCAGAAGTGTGTATATCTTGACATACTGAACTGCTGCATACATTTTTGCTACATGGTGCTGGGACTACAGCTAATTTCCCCCCCAGAATATTATAGTAGTATAAAAAATAGTGGAACATTGAAAAGTAGGTATAGTAAAACTCACAACTTAGTGTAAGTTGAAATATTTATGTGAAAACTAGAATGTATTACAATTTTATTGGTTTTAACTGTAGCCTACCGGACTCCTCTGTCCCTGGAGTTCTCCAGACAAGAATACTGGAGTGTGTATCCATTCCCTTCTCCAGGAGATCATCCCAACTCAGGGATTGAACCTGGGTCTCCTGCATTGCAGGCAGATTCTTTACTATCTGAGCCACCAGGGAAGCCCACAATAGAAGAAACTCAAATAATATTTTTCAAAATAAAATTATGGAAACTTTTAACCATTAAAACCACAGAAAACATGTACCAGTGGCCCTGAAAAACACAGGTTTGAACTGCACAGGTCCACTCATATGAAGATTTTTTTTCAATAGTAAATAATACAGTACAAAACCATCCATGGTTGGTTGAATCCATGGATGTTGTTTAGTCGCTAAGTTGTGTCTGACTCTTTTGCGACCCCATGGACTATAGCCCCTCAAGCTCCTCTGTCTATGGGATTCTCCAGGCAAGAATACTGGAGTGGGTTGCCATTTCCTTCTCTAATAGGGAGGGTCCACTGTAAAGTTACATACAGGTTTTCCACTATTTGGTAGGTTGGTGCACCTAATGCCTGCATTGTTCAAAGGTCAGCTCTATATAGGGGCCCCCATTTTTCCTTTTGTCTTGGGTTCCAATGTGGCTCAGTGCACCTTACTTGTACTGAACCTCACCTTAATCCTGGCCATATGCATGGTTAATTTTTGTTGTTCAGTCACTAAGTCATGTATAACTCTTTGTGATCCCATGGACTGCAGCATGCCAGGCTTCCCTGTCCTTCACTATCTCCTGAAGTTTGTGCCAACTCATGTCCATTGAGTCTGTGATGCTATCTAAATATCTCATCCTCTGTCACTGCTTTCTCCCCCTGCCCTCTATGTTTTTCAGCATCAGGGTATTTTTGTTTTTGTTTTTTAAATTTTTTCTTAATGAGTCAGCTCTTTGCATCAGGTTGCCAAAGTACTGGACCTTCAGCTTCAGCATCAGTCCTTCCAATGAATATTCAGGATTGATTTTGTTTAGGATTGACTGGTTTGATCTCCTTGCAAGCCAAGGGATTCTCAAGAGTCTTCTTCAGCACCACAATTTGAAAGCATCAATTCTACTCCTTTTCAAAAAATGGAAACAAGACATTTCAGTGTAATAAGTGTACCATTATTTATTTATTGTCCTATTGATGAACATGGAAGTTGTAAAAAATTTTTTTACTATTGCCATGGTGTAGCAATGAATATTGTTATAGATTATATCTATAGGTTTTCATGTGGAACCACCAGCTCTGGGGGCTGATCATTTATTTTTATGTTTTCCAATCAATACAAAACTACTATATTTTAATATGATACTGATTTTCATATTTTTTTACCTTTGAACATTTGTGCATACATATATTGGCCATTTTTTTTTCTTATAGTGTGAATTGCCTATTTTGATTCTTTGCACATTTCCTATTTTTTCTTATTCATTTATGCCAACTTTTAGTATTCACAGTCTTCCCTGGTGGCACAGATAGTAAAGAATCTGCCTCCAATGTAGGAGACTTGAGTTTGATCCCTGGGTCAGGAAGATCTCCTGGAGAAGGAAATGGCAACCCACTCCAGCATTCATGCCTGGGAAATCCCATGGACAGAGGAGCCTGGCAGACTACAGTTCATGGGGTCGCAAACAGTTGGACACAACTGAACGACTAACACTTTGGTATTTAAGCATGTCAACTTTTAGTGTATTACATGCTTTGTAACTTTTTTCCTTAAGATTTTTATTTATGCTTGACTACATTTTTGCATAATTAAATTGTTCAATTGTTACTGCTTATGAAATATGATTTTATTATTTCAG